GCTGATGAGATTAATCTTACTTGCTAAACGATTGTGAGTAAAGTTGGATATATCAATGAGCGAACATGTTGAGTCGTCGTTTTTGGATGCTGGCTCAACACCATTTTTTTTCTTTATGACTATCAATCAAGCAAAAGTAGTTCCTACTCAACTTTATATTATCGGTCATCATATTCAACGTATTTGCTAATCTATTAATTTCAAAAGCTTCTCTTATATTTTTTTAATAGCACACGTACCATAATCAGAAAACCTACTCGTTTAAGACAATTCAATCATATGTCCAGTCTCTGCCAACTTTCAGTGGTGCTCAATAGTAGAGATAAATTCACGAAAGTAAAAAGCAGACATACTTTTATAAGATGATGGCAATCTTTTGGGAAACCTTTAGCTAAAATTGGTCTTTGTGAAATTAATTTTTAGGTGATATTTTTGGCTCATTCATTCTTATGATAAGATGATAAGTAAATTAAAATCACGTATAATGTAAGGTATGAAGACCAGGAGGCTATGGCCTTTTGTAGGGTCGTAGTCATCTTTCGTAGTATAGAAGTTGTTTGACCGTATTTTCTCAACGTGGTCATATTGGCAGATAACAAAGAAGGACTAGCCTAGTCCGGAGTCCATAGTAAGCGTGATAATTTCCGGAGACGGACTGTGGACTTGGTACGCTTAGATCTATCACATTTGGCAGTTGGCAGGCAAGAGACTTGGAATTAGAGTAAGAAGAGCGAAGGAAGCGGTGGTGACCATTTCTATTCTGTTTTAGAATTTGATAAATTTGAGAAGTAAATAGTTCAACCGAGTTTCGCCATTAATCTTATACGAAGATACAATTCGATCAAGCTAATTTTGGGAGCGACGTGTGCCATTCAATATAAAGTTTAAGCCCTTCTGTTGCTTACTAGATTATGTCTATATACTAGATGGAATTCAAATATCAAATCCTTGATAAGGCCACTTTTTCTGTACGATAGATAAATTTACACGACAAAACTAATATATGAGGTACTGTGCCTGAATTTTGCCATAGAAGGTAGTATGCAATATGCTTTTAGATATCAAAGTATGAGGGAGTGTTCGTTGACCGACAGACTTTAAGAATCGGAATCTAATTTTAGAGCTAGAAGATTTGGGCTCTGTATAATTATGTGCTCATCGGGGCAAATTTAGATATATGATATGACGATTCTATCGCATAATCAGTGAAAGTTTATTCTGATTTGATCAAATAGGTTGCTGTTAAGATATTGTGCAAATGGATGCCAAAATTAGGGAGCAAATTTTGTTAGATAGGCTTGCTTGAGAAGGAGCGGGTTCGCGAACCAAGAAAGTAATGTTGAAGGCAATACTAATGGAGAATAAAATGTTCGCGAGGCGGTTGTAAAATCCTTGTGCTTTACAAAACAATGATAGGCTAGAGAACTTAGAAAGAAGAATGGAATTGCATAAGAGGTATATAGTGGAAAAAGAAGCTCTATGCTAGAAATGTTTCCTTAAATCTCATTAAGTGAAGCTCTCAAGGTCTCCATGTAGATTAAGTGTAATTTAAAATCAACCGAGTAGCTAACCAAGGTGTACACGTAATTAAACAAGATAATTCCTACAAGTATTACCACTGGTTGCTCTCTGTAAACTAAGCAGGAAATTTCATGCTGTCATTATTATGCCTTTACCTATGATTTGATAGTATTGACACTTCTGTAGAGATATTGACCTATTACCGTGTTTATCACTTTATGGTTTCCTATATTCAATGGTGATTAACCTCTTTTGTACACTTAAATTCAAAAATCAGTATCTCGATCGATAAAATTATATGATCTTTCTTTACAATAAGCTTGATTCTTGTAATATTGTCAGTTTTATTACTATCCTCCTTTTGTTTGTGCGCAGAGTAGACAGCTGGTTAAAGCTTTTATTGCTAAGTTTCCAGTTTCGTGCGTTTCGTGTATTTTTGTTTTTGGTGACCATGTTTTTTCGATCAAAGAATAGTGTTTTAACATTTGTTGTCTTTTGCTTTCCCCCCCTCGGGGTCATAGACCTTGTCATTAATGAATGGAAAAACCCTACGCATAAACCATACTCATTAGCTTTTTAATCACTCTGAATATGAATACCTTTTGGGAAGCCAAACTATGTGAAATTCAGTGAAAAACGTA